GTTTGAAACATCTCCTTTTCTGCAGCCACCTAATTTTCACAACCTCATTGTTAATTAGGACACCTTGGAGATCAGAACATTTCCAAATATGCACAATATTCTGACAATCTTATTGATTGTCCTGACTTTGCAAATCAGTGTCGTCGTTCAGTTCCAGATTGTGGTCTTTTTTCTCCCTGCTGTTAGCTGGATAAATAAGGGTGTTACCAGGCTGAAGATGGGCATCCGTCCTTGTTGAAGAATATTAACCAAATCAATTTTTTCACAAAAAGAAAATCAATTGATGCATTAGCAAGAGAGAAAAGAAAACATTATGCTGGTTTAGCTCCTAGGAGCCTGGAGAGCCAACTCCAACTTTCAGAAATAGAGAGCTAAGAAAGATCTAAAGTTCAGATCTAAATCCGGATCGGAACTTCTGCAGGGCACATGGGGACTCTGACTCATTTCTAAACTGGATGGGCATTTAAAGGGCAGTCATATAAAAACTGACCCTCCTGCCAGAGCTTCGCCAAACAGGGACACATCTGACTCTTTGAATCACAGTTTGTCCTCCCAAAGCAGTAAGGTGGGTGATGACAGAGGAGGTTTCATATCTGCATTCATCACCTGATGAATTTTCAGCTATTGCTGAAAACAGGATGCTGCTGTAAACATAGGAGGTTCAGTTTTCTTCTACAAAGCCTAACACATCTTCTGTAGACTTTTAGTGGTGAAATGGGAGTCAGGTTTTATATATTAGACCAGCAAGCTCAGGGGTGGATAGAAGCATTAATTGAAATAGGAAACATTGTTCATTAGCTGTTGTCAGGATCTCTGAAGAGTTAATTCTGGTTCTGCCGATGGTTTGATGTGTGGTATTTAGTAAAACATCAGACCTTTAAGCTAAGTATTTTAATAGGATCTAGTTACAAAATGAAGTGAAGGCGTTCTGAAGTGTTGTGGAACTGAATCTGAACTTCAGACTGAGGCTATTTTATAATAAATATCTTCTTCTACCTCCTTGGGCTGCTGTGGAGAATAATTAATGTTTGCATACTGCTTTGAACATGCAGACTGTAATGACAGTACTAAGTTTTCATATTAAAACTATTAAATATTGGGATTCTGTAATAGTCTCCTTCCATTTCATTGAATCGTAAGGTTTTATGATGTGTTTAAAAATAAAATTGCTGCGAGGAAGGACTGCCATTTAGATTTAAGATCAAATACTTCAGAAAGGATTATATGATATGCCTGAGAGTTCCCCCTGAGCCGCTTCTCCCTGCCTGCCCTCCTCCACATGCAGCCTGGTTTTCTGCCTTACAAATGAACCCGTGCTTGTCTGGAACCAGAAAGCCTCGTGCAGGCAGCTGGTGCGACTCTCCCAGAGATATTGCTGAGCTGATATATTGCATAATATGTCTGTGTACTTGCTTCAGATCATACATAAAATACTTCACTGTTATACTCGGAGAAACGTAAGGAATATGACAAGCGCTAATGTTGAAGGGTAATAAACATACCTTATAGGTACTTGTTTCCATACTTTTCCTCCTACAACCATATCCCCGTGCACACATGTCTCTGAACTACCAACTTTGACAGATGTTGGACTTAGTCAACAGCTAATTTGCCTTAATAAGGCATTTGGGTTTAATATTGATGTAAAATATCTAGACACAGACCCCACTGGAACGATCAAATACTGGGTACTCATTACTGCAAGTCCAGAGTGCCATTACCACTGATTTAACTACTAATGAATTTGGAGACATCTGTGTCTGAGCTACTTGTTTGGACTTCCCTTGCGTTCATTGCAAAGAACTAGGCACTGTAGGATGCAATTCATTGTGTCCTAATGCAGATCCCTAGAGTTGGTTAGACGAATTGGCCCCCTGAAAGTGCATTTTTCTCTGACTTGATTATACAGGGATGCAGAATAATTAGCTCAAAAGTAGCTGCCTACATCTTAGAAGCATAAAGGTTGGTAAGATGAATCTCACCCTTTTAGTCTTTGTTTTTCATTCTGGCACGTCTCTTTATATTCACCTTTGAATCAAAACACAAGGAAAGGAAAGCAAGGAAAATACGCCTTTTTTGTTGTTGTTTGGACAATAACATGGTTTTTACTGAAAAATAAGACTTGTGCATCAAGCTGCACATCAAGCTGGTCTGTTAATACAATGCTTTAATGAAAAGAAACTAGTAAGACTGTATTTTTCATATTGAATCATAAAGGCATTAGTTCTCAGCATTTTCTGTCAAAGCTGTGCTTGATAATGTTATTTTCAACCAGAAACTTTTTCAGTTATTTGCTTATTAATGAACTTGTCTTTGTACAGCACCTTGCAGACTCATGGTATATGCCCAGAACACTGGCACTACAGCATTACAAAGAAAGGATTTATTCTAACATGCAAATATCAGCCCAACCTTGCAATGTCCAGAATATAGCATTTTGAAAGACCAACTACCAGGCACTTTTGAGTAGAAAGCCATCATAGTTAGCCAGTATTTGGAAAGAGAATAAGAATATCCAATCATATAGCACTCTGTGAAGGTTTATCCATTTGCTGTAGGATCTGGGCACATGCTCATAATATATGGGTTGAAACACTGTCATGCTCAACAAAAGGGATGAGTGAGGTGTTCCTGTGGCTGTGGTGAGCTTTGGACCACATATGGCAACCTGGTTACCCGAGATGTACCCCACAAGGGCTATTCCCTGTAGTTAGTTGTGTTGTTAAAAAAATACCTTTAAATAAATGGTAAGTATTTAATGAGACATAAACCTAGTCAAATTTACATTAAATTTTATGTCTTTGTCTGTATGTTCATTTTAGGGAGGTTTTTGTGTTTAGGAGCAGGCCTGGATCAGGCACCTGCATTGGGATTTTCTCTTCTGCTGCTTCCCACTTGTTCCTTGCCTGCTTTTATCTGCTGAGCTGGGAAGCTCCACGGTGCGAGCACCAGCTCTTCTTGTGTGTCTGTGCAACGTTTGGTACGACATGAGTTATAGCCTGTTGTGTTAGGAATAATAAGAGTCTGTTTCCGTTCTAAAGCCTGAATTACTCGAAGGCAAAGGTAACAATATGGTACTGCTGCATTTGACTCTCCTGCCTCACCCGTTTTGGTTGAGGCTTCAAAGTGAAAATGAAAAACAGCAGCTGATGTCACCAAGACATTAATTTTTCACTCCTTCCCTCCCTCCCAGCGCTTACATTTATATGTAGCTTGGATTGAAACCGTGTGTCTTGTTTTGGCAGGGATGCTACAGAATGGAAAGAAGTTTGATTCCTCCAGAGACCGAAACAAGCCCTTTAGGTTCAAGATCGGCAGGCAAGAAGTCATTAAAGGGTTTGAAGAAGGTGTTACACAGGTACAAAGAAATGACTCTGGCTGAACCTCATGAAGGGTGTGTGAGCACAGCAATGTCCAGTGCAGTGGTGAGAAGACCATGTGGGAATCACAGTGTAGGGTACAGAGTGGTTTTCTGAAAGCGTGGTCCATTTTGAGCACAGTATTTCCTGTAGTCCTCCCCTGTCTGTCCAGGGACACCTCCTGCTCAGGAGGCTTTCCAGGGGATGTGTATCTGGGAGAGGAGAGGTGAAGTCCCCTCCTGGGTACCAATGTGCCTAAGCCCTGTCCCTTTCCCATGGGCAGCTCCACAAATAGACAACAGTGGTGGCCCCTACAGTGTTCCAGGTGGCAGCGTTTTATGGAGTGGCCTCTTCAGCTACTCCATAAAAGTCCAAGCTGCTGTTTTTGATGACATCCACGACCGAGCTACGGATTTTGACCCTTACTCAATGAGATACCAAACCACACTGTTAAATTTTTATGACTTCAGGCTCCCAGCTACAAAACTTAACATTCAGTGACGAACCCTATGCTGCGAAAAAGGAAACTGCCCTCCCTTAATTACAATTTGAGTGCCAGCACAGTAAAACCCTGAAAGAGCCACACAGTGATTGCCAACTCTTGCTTTTTGTCTGCGGTGCTGTGAGGGCCCACCACGTGAGGAGTGCGATCAGGCTCTTCAGGTGCAGAAGTGAGAGAGATCAAGGTGCAAATTACTTGTGACTCCCCCATTTTGGGGTCCTAGAGCTCAGTGTAGAAGGAAATTGCTCAAATATTATTATAGGAACAACTGTAACAGGAACAACATCTTATGCTTAAATAGAGAGAAGGGAAGAATGCAAAATGAGAAACAATCCAGTGATGGATGATGCAGCCATGCTTTTCCAGAGAGGGGTGGAGAGGCTATGGTTTGCAGCCCTATGGAGAAAGCAAAGCAAGCATTGCCCTCTCTCCAGCCAGAGGAGAAGCCCATTTGAGGAATCCTAAACTCTGAAAAATACCACCTTTCTCTCAAGGATTTGAGTTGGACTCTTTATTATTTGCTTTACATTAATGCCTAAGAGAAGCCCAGGACTCCAGTGTGCAGTGGAAACCAGAAGCCAGTACAGATAAAGGAGTGGCACCAAGCACTGAGTGAATCAGTTTATCCTTTCCTCAGCAGCTCTTGCTCACCGACTCCTGTCCTGTAATTAATAGTGGCCAAAAACCATTCCAGCAGCCAAGAGTGGCAGCACGCTGCCCTCCTGCTCCTCCTAGTGGATCACTGCCTGAAGTCGAGCTTGTGGCTCCTTCCACCTCAGGGGTTTGAGAACTGAGATGGACACAAGGCTCTTGGAAAAAGGCAGCCCGCTATGTCTAGCATGCAGATGGTTCTGTTTGATAACTGTCAGATGTCAGCAGCGCCTGCATTTCTCTGCTCAGCTTCTGACAGTTCAAGGTTGCCCCATGCCTAAAACCCATGTGTGACTGACCAGCTGTCTGGCTTGCAGAGACCCATCAGAGCAGCAGACAGACCCCTGCAGGGACCAGGGGAGGTCATCTGCTCTTATACGCTCAGCCCCATGGTATGAATACATCCAGAATGTGGGAAAATTTATATTACAGTTTTCTTCTGCCTAAAGTGATCATAGCGCTAGCTTTGGCGTGGTTTTTAGGACTTGAAAAAAAATCAACAGGATATAATAGCATAAATCCATAGTCCAGTGATGTGCCCCACTTTGGGAGAGAGAACACACTCCTTCACATCAGGGATTGTTTCTTGGCCAATGAATCAATCACCAGTGCATGGTGCATGAGTAGCACCCAAAATACTCTGTTGGAAGAGCAGGGATTTGGATCTTGATACTCCAAATCCTGATGAGTGCTGTTACCTCCAGAGCTAGTCTGGAGTGGGAGAAATCATCATTTCTGTCCTTTCCAGGGGCAAGGGCTCTCTGCTGGAATAAGCAGCAGCTGAGGTGAGACATCTGCCCTCAGGTTTGGGCTGAATTTAGGGAAATAACTACCTCTTTTACCTAGGATTGCATCAGTTTACAGAAATTTGGATGCCTACAGAGTTAATGTTTGAGCAATGGCTTTGAAGTCATCCCTGGTGGTGGCTGAAGAAGAAAAAGTGTTGCTGACTGCTTCTCAGTAGCTGAACCTAACTGCGTTTCGGCACTCATCTCCCATGAGTACAAAGCTCTGGTCCTATCTGTTCCTGAGAGCCTTTTCCTAACACTCACTGATGGGGTTACCTGTACTGTGCTCCGCAAAAGGGTACTCTAGTGTAGGCAGGATGGACCAAAGTACACATTTAAAACCCTTTGTGTGCCTCCCAGACTGGCTCTGACTACTTAAATAACCTCTGTGAGAAGCCAGAGGAGTCAGGAGACCTTAGTCTGAGCTCTTTGTGGCAGCTTCAGCTTGGTCCCATGGTCCCAACTCTCCATGATTCTGTAAGTCAACCACATAGTGATTTGTTTTCTTCCTAATATTATTGTATTGTCTTCTCTATTTGTTTCTCCACCATCCAAAACTCAGATGAGCTTAGGACAAAGAGCCAAGTTGACCTGCACACCCGAGATGGCCTATGGAGCCACAGGCCACCCGGGGGTCATCCCTCCCAACGCTACGCTGCTCTTCGACGTGGAGCTTCTCAGGTTGGAGTGAACCTTCCCAGGGAGGTGGCTGGAGACATCTGTTAATACCCATCCCCTCCTCCTTGCCTCGCCAGCGGAGGAGGAGTCTTCACTGGAATCCCAATCTTCCCTGCTCAAGCTGTCCTGTCCGTAGCGCCTGCTGTTCTGTTTCTTGCGCCTTCCTCCTCTTTTTTAACTTTGTGGTGTCCGTATTTGCCTTTTATCAGAAGCTTTGCCTGAGGAAAAACGTCTACCGTTGTAACATTCTCAAGTTGTACATTTTATTTAATTTGCATGTAAGAAGAATTCAGTGATGATTGAAAATATCTATAAATATAAATATATATATATTCCTTATTGAAAAACCACTGCCTTACTGTACACTTAAACCAAGAAAAAGAAAAAACCAACACAAAAAGGTGCTCACAAAAATCCACTGTACGCCTTGTACATGAACGGGCATTAGCCAAACAGAGTTACCTGCGCTGCCACTTTTCTCAACTTGTACGTTCTGCTTGCTGCTGTTTTAAAAATACTGTCTCATTTAAGAATTAAAAGTATATATAGAAAACAATAAAATCTTGATACTTTACACTTTGTGTTTCCTGGATTTTTTTGCTTTCCTCTGGCCACTGGAATTCTTTTTTTGGTTATGAAGTTCCTCAATCAATCATTAACCCATTTACTTGTTAATTATTTATCTTCTTGTATGAAATGCACATAATTCCATGCATTGATTCTGTTATAGATGGCACAGAGGAAGATCCCTGTGGGACCAGAGGTACCAGGGCTGTGCAAGTGAGGGCTGTTGAGGCAGAGAGGTTTCCTCACTCCATCTCCCCTGCCCTGCTGGTGGCCTCTCAGCTATGGCCAAAATTTGGTTGCTGCAGAGTTGGAAAGTGATGCTTCTCAGAGGCAGTGCTGGTCCAGTTCCTTGCCTTTACAACAGTAAAACTAATGTAAAAAATCATGCAGGAGCTGAGAAGGGCTGGAGAAGAGCAGAATTACATACACCCTTTATAAAACAAATCTGACCTGTGGGGTGATGTGGCCACTGAACACACGGGGGTTTTTTTTAGGCTGCATCTTTTGATGCTGTTTACATAACCTGCAAACTTTGTGCACTGGGCTCCTGGCACTCGAGACTGAGCAGTGTTTTATTTCATTTGATGGCTGTGTGAATTCATGAAACGCTGGTTCCTCCCCTGGAGACGGGCAGATGCGTAGGCTGTCATTTACCTGGATTCAGGAGTAGAACCTGATCAGGGAAGCTGCCTCTGTGCTGTTATTTTGCTTTGCCTAAACTTGATTTCTCCCCTCTGCTGTAGAAAGAAAAGAGCATCATTGGGTCTCAATGTTATTTTACTTAACTTGTCTATGAACTGTATTTGCATTGCTTTCAAGTAATGGATTTTTGGATGGAAGAATTTCAAATGAGGGGGCGGTAAACTTGTGTGAGGCTGTGTAAGGAGAACACCCCTAGCACGAGCAGAGACCACAAAGCTCCATAGGTACCTCCAGGTGATACCTCCTGGGGATGGGAGAGGAGCACAGAAAAGCAGGAACAGCGACCGAGCCAATGACTGCAGCTCGTGCTCTTATTTCTCTGGATGTTTTTTACCCACAAAGCTACATTTGAGTTTGTTAATTACTAAGCCCATAGAACCCATCTGTTACAGACCGTTACTCACCAAGGGTTGGTTTTGTTGCTCCCCGCTGTAAAGAACCGAAAGGCCTTGGAGGACCTTTTTTTGGTTGAAGTCTGGGATCACCGCAGCAGCGAGGTTACACACCCCACGTTTCACCAATAGTTCTTTTATTTAGGGCAGGCCGATTTCCTGTTAATAAGTAGGGAATTAGACCTGCTGGGGTCTGATGCCCAGAGGTTCTCCCAGATATTTTGTAAACGTCCTGGTCACCTCTGCCTCTGTCACTGGTCTTGCTTTCAGCATGGGGTTACGGCTCACGGGCTTGTACTGCAGATGTGAGCTCATGTAGACATCCTGGTTAATTCTAACAGAGCCCTGTCGCGCCTGTCAAACACAGCTCGAGTCAGCACACGGGTCTAAAGCTGCTCCTTCCGATGCCCAGTTTAAGTTACTTTCTCATAAAAACCCCTAAAACTGAAAGGATCTGTTTTGAGGTTTGCCCTCAGCAGCACAACGCAGCCATTACCGAGTCTGTAAAACCCGTATCAGAGCCGGTTGATGAAGCTCCCTCCCTCATTGCCCTTTCTCTGCAGAGACCTTTGGTGGAAGCAGGGATTATTACATTTTTCATGCCAATTTCATTTAAAAAAATCTGAAAGGAAAACTAATTGTGCTTTGTGATACTTAGGGAAATTAAGTCTTCAAGGAAATGTAATCTTCAGCTCTTTATTTGACTGCAAATGCGCTGATTTATTTAATTGTATCATCGATCAACACAGTACATGTAATTATTGCCACTATATAATGGATTGGAAAAAATTTACCGTCATTGCCCGTGTAATCAGATATGCTCTTGTTACTAATTTCTAAACAGCTTAGATGGAAAAAATGACCTTCCAGGCTTAATTTCATGCCCTACTTCCTGAAAAATTAAATGGGAAGCGAGCACACACAAAAACCAGCACAGATGCAGAGTACGAGGCTGGTAACATCTGCCTTATTTGCTGCCCCCTCTGCCACTCGTAGAACTGAACTCATTTCCCTGTCCTTTGATATTACATTTCAAACAAAATCTTGAGCAGACCTCATCAACACACTCCTCCGGGCATTCGATTTCCATTCCTTCTGTCTTGCAGGTACAAATTATTATTTCATTTTACATGTGCAGGGACCCTGAAAGCCCTGAACAGGCACTAGAAGGAAGAGTATGAAATGGAATATTTAATGAAAGGCAGCAGCTGAGCTCCCGGAGAAATCAAAAGCTGCTGATCTTGAGGATTCATTGAAGGAATTTTTATTAATCTTATTACCCTAAAGAATTGCTTTTTATATATGTTTTTCAAACAGCATCAAGTCCTCATCAAAACAGACGCTGCGGTGCCAGCACCACGCTCTCCCCTATTGACAGAGGCAGCGTGGTATTTGCATATGATTTTAAACAAGGCTAGCAGCATGTGGCACCCTTATTAGCACTTTGATGGTGTTTATTATGATTTATTAAAAGCATAAATCCAGCGTGGTAACAAGCACCTCCAGTTCCTGTTACAGCAAGGGGCTTTCTAAATGCCCAGCAACTGGTGTAAATGGCCCCAGTTATTCTAGTGTTCAGCACATGCATGTGTGTGTATGGATATATAAAGCACACACACATATATATATACGTATATACATATATATATATGTATATAAGCATTAAAAAGCGACCTTTAAAAAGCTGTAGATGCTCACAAAGAGGCAAGGCCAATAGGATTTCATTCATTTAAGCGTTTTTAAGGCAAGCTGGTTTTTGCCTGATAAAAAGGGGACAGATGCTCTGCAAATTCTTACCTCCGTCACCAACGGCCAGATGACGAATGACTTCCTTTATAAAAGGAAAGGTCACACGCAGATGTGGCACAGCACAGAGCAAGCCTTGGCGGAAAAAAGCAAAACTGTGTAGACACACTTATTTTTTTACTAAATGGACACGAGAACAGCGTGGTTAAGTGACAGATTTCAAGGAAAGTCTAAGGATAAGGAAATGGAAACGTGCCTTTATGACATTATAATGCGCTGAAACAAATTTTAACTTAACAAATCCTCAGGCAAAATATGTTTGCATCTGCCCATGATCTGCACCGGCTGGAAGCCGTCTGCTCAGGGAGTTCAACAGCACATCCAAGGAAACAAATCCTCCTGCGAGGCAGGGTTCTGCCAACGTTCACACGACTTCCAGCTGGTTCAGCACAGAGGCAGAGGTTATTCTGCTCTGCTTCCAAAATGCACTGCTTATGCATACTCTGGATCACGCTCACTGTTACTCACAGGACACGAGTGCCGAAAAAAGAGAGCCAACAAATTTAAAATCTTTTCCTCCACCAGATGCTACATCTAAAATGTGTGTACATGAAATGCATCACAGTTCAGACCCACCGAGTAGAAAACAATCGCACTACAGGTATCCAGAAGTTACCACCATTCTCTACTGTGCCGTTTTGGTCGTGTGTTCTCTACTTAACATTAAAAGGTGTGAGGTGTGTTCCTGTCGCTCCTCCTGACTTCAGTGTAAACCTGGTACATGAACACTTATGCCATTAAATCAGCTGGCCAGCAAGGCAGTTAGAGCAAGATTATTTTACTGCAGCTTATCCATTTCACCTCAATCCCCAGCCACGAGATATTTTGACTGAAGTCACCTAAGGAATTGCATCATTTTAAAAGGCTGCTCATTTTCTAGAGTTTGTAAAAGAAACCTTGTCATAAACATGGATTTGGGCTTGCTTTGTTTCTACTAAGAGGAAACGCTCAGCGGGCTCTGTCCAGTCCTGCAAGGTCCTGCCAGGAACAGGACTGCGGTTATGCAGCATTTGCCAGGTCACCCTTACAACACGGAGAAGCCGTGTCCACCTAGGGGGATTTCACCTGAAAGCAGATCTTCTGATGGTTTACATTTACGTCATTCTAACATGAAGATCTAAGGACTCAAATTACATCTTATCACATTTTTAAAAACTTCACAGAGAATTCCTACGTTTAGCTCAAGAAGTCAACGGCAGGGCTTGAAAAAGAGGGTTTTTTTTCAAAAAGATGGGTTTATTTCGGTGGGTCTGTATTAATTCCGTATTTTTCCTTGAGAAGCTTGAGCTGTTCCTCTTTCTTCTTTGTGTCCATCTTTTGGAATGCCTGTAATTAGGAAAATAAGAGATGTCAGAAGGAAAAAAACAAAGGAAAAATCTCGTTTTGCGACATGTTAACTCCCTGTAACCACAAATATCATCACTACCAACTGCATCACCACCACACACAAACAGCACCGCTCGATTCTCGGCCCTGGAGGATGCCACAGTGCCCTGGACACCGCCAGTTACAGGCAGAACGACAAGGCCTAGAGACGCCTCACCTGTAACCAAGATCTCTCATCCCCTTCCAGCTGTGCAGTTTTAAGGCCCCTGCTTCCTCTTCTCCAAAGTACTCACCAGACACCTGGTTTTTCACACCCTTGGTTCAAATGTACTTTTGCTGCACACAGATCACCAAGTACGGATGAAATCCTGACAATTTGTCCAATCCATTCCCTCTCCCAGTTTGGATTTATTTCTTTAAAATATCCAAGCAACTGTCTTTCCAAACTGCTATTTATTTTTTTATGCTAGCTATATTCCTAGGTACCTTTAAACCCTCCAAGCACACATACCCTGTTTGCATTGTAGTACAAAACGACCAGGTATCTGTTACACACGTTGAATCCCGACAGGTGATCGCAAGC